CCCTGAGGAGAAGGCTGGGGTCTGGAGGTCCTGAGGGTCGAGGCTGGAGGCGCGCTGACAGCTAGGAGGGGTTGTGCGGGGGACAATTTAGGGAATTCCACCTGGACATTCTGGAAAAATCTGCGCATAACCAGGCGCAATCTCCAAGGGGCAGGGACTTCTCAGCCTGAGGACACTTGGACAAGACCTGGGGTTTTTCTTGTCAAGGACATTTAGGATGTTTGGGGTGACAGGATTTGGGACCTCTGAGGGTGAGGAGATTTGGGGTCTCTCATTAAGGGGTTTCAGGCTTCCTGACATTGCGTTCCCAGGATGGGGGCATTTAGGGTTTGAGTTGTGGGAAATTTGGTCTTTCTGGGCTGTATTTAGAGTGACCCCGGCTGAGGGGAATGGGGGTTTTCAGGGTGTCTGGGGATGTAAGCATTGGGAGGTTTAGTGTATATCTGGGTGAGGAGACTTGGGGTCCTTCAGTGCTGAGAGGACTTGGAGCACCTCAGGAGGAGATGCATCTAGGGTCTTGGGCTGGAATCCGAAGGCCTCGGGCTAAGGGTTTCGTATAGCAAGGTCCCCATTTTCCTGTCAGTCTCCCGGCTCTCCTGCTGCGCTGCCCACCCTGGCCGAGCGTCCTTTCTGAGCCCCTCGCGCTACCTTCCCTCAGGAGAAGTATGGCTGCCCGGGGCTAGGTTCCCGCCTTATAGAGGCGTCAGGCAAAGCCACCAATCAGTGCTGCGATCACAGGGCCCTGCGGGCCAATGGGTGGTCAGAAGAAGCTGAAAGGGCGGGGCATAGCATGGAGCCTGTCCGTCAGTTGCGGTCANGAGGGCGGGGCATAGCCTGTCTGTCAGTCACGGTCAGAATCTTGGGCTCGCGTCTGGCGGGGCGGGTCTTTGCATCCTGTGGAAGGACCCGCCCCACCGCGCGGTGATTGGCTGCTCTGGGGCCTGCGAGTGCCTGTCAAGAAGCCTTCGGTGCGGCTGGCGGTTTCTCTGGCTAGTTTCCCCCGGTGTCGGTGAGGCGCGGGTGCCGCAGGAGGTGGGAGAGCCGAGCGCCCGCAGGTCCTGAGGACGGACTGGGCCT